TCTCTCTCTCCTTCAAAAATAAATAAACAGGGGCGCCTGGGTGGCTCAGTTGGTTAAGTGTCCGACTTCGGCTCAGGTCACGATCTCGCAGTCCGTGGGTTCGAGCCCCTTGTTGGGCTCTGGGCTGATGGCTCAGAGCCTGGAGCCTGCTTCCGATTCTGTGTCTCTGCTCTCTCTGCCCCTCCCCCGTTCATGCTCTGTCTCTCTCTGTCTCAAAAATAAATTAAAAAAAAAAAGTTAAAAAAATAAAAATAAATAAATAAACATTAAAAAAAAAAAAGAATTCTTGGGTCAGAGGGAAAACCAGGGTTGCAATTACGGATCATTTAGGATGTTGCAACCGTAAGAACACTGTGTATTGACACTCACAAGAAGGTGCCAGAGACTAAATTGGTGCGAAAGACCTCAGATTATTAGCAGAAAAGAGGAAACGTAAATGAACTAAAGATTTGAGCCCAGAAATGAGAAAGCAAAAGCAAAACCAAACAAACCAAAGAAAATTAGGAGGCAGAGACGAACAAATCCAAAAGCATAAAATAATGATTTGAAGACAAAAAAAAAAAAAGAATTGATACGTATAAGGGGTAGTTATTGGAAAGAAGAAGAAGAAGAAAGAAGAAGAAGAAGAAGAAGAAGAAGAAGAAATGGCTGATCTAGAAAACATTAGCACAGAAGATTAAGAGTAAGAAGAGGGTTGGGATTTCATAAATAGATGGATGATTTTTTTTTTTTTTGAGGAATGGTATAGTGTTAAGCTAATAGAGTTAAAAATGTCTAATGGGTATGTTTAAGAAAAATAGGAATTACAAGTTAAATTTAGAGTTAGAAAACTGAACTAATACGTAAGGAAAATGTTGCCGACTGTGAGAAGCAGCGTGCATAATGGTTAACATGCCAACTCACCTGGGCATGTTACATCCCAGACTTCACCTGTTAAGCCAATTATTCAACCTCTCCAAACCTCAGTTTCCGTAATTCTAAGCTGGTGATTATAACCAACGTCCATCTACCAAATTTGTTGTTGTGCAGTCAACGACATGGTGAGTCAACCTCGTGCTGTGGTCGTAACAGAAAAGCTCCCCAGAGACACCGGAAATTTCTATTACTGCATTCCTTCAAACTTCCTAAGAAGAGGTAGCTCATGTGCTGTATTAATAGTTTCAGGGCACACAGAAAAGTGGGATGCTATTCATCCAGCTTTTACAAAATCATTTATCTTGATGAACACACTTGATATATTAGCACAAAAAAAAGATAGACTCTCTTTGTGACTATATAGGAATTGAATAAAATATATGCCAGTGGAATCCAGTGTTGTAATGGAAGAATACTGCCAAAATCAAATAAGGAAATTCCCGGGAAGAGACAAATGGCTCCGTATGAGGAAATCTATCAGTCCACTTTATCACGTGGCCAGGCAGTTGGCAGTATGTTGACCTAGAAAGACTGCTTTTTATTATTCGCCTAAGGAAATAAGACATGATTGAAGACCAGTGTTCGAGGTTGCCTGCTGGAACGTTATTGAACTTTTAAACAATCTAAATATACAATAACAGGGGAATGCTTAACCATATCTGTTAAATAAACATATTAAATAAACTATAGACATACATATACTGTATTCTATAGAATTACTATTGTGAAACCATATGAAATATTTTGAGGAATATTTCAAAACCTGAAAATATATTCAAGGGGCACCTGGCTGGTTCAGTTGGTGGAGCCTGCGACTTTTGATCTCGGGGTTGAGAATTCGAGCACCATTTTGTGTGTAGAGATTACTTAAACACAAAACCTTAAGGGGTGGCTGGGTGGCTCAGTTGGTTAAGCATCCAACTTCAGTTCAGGTCATGATCTCATGGTTTGTGAGTTTGAGCCCCGCGTTAGGCTCTGTGCTGACAGTTTGGAGCCCTGTTTCAGATTGTGTGTGTCTCTCTCTCTGCCCCTCCCCTGCTCACGTTCTGTCTCTCTCTCAAAAATAAATAAACATTAAAAAATAAAATTAAAAAATAAAATAAAGTCAAAAAAATCTTAAAAAAAGAAAATATATTCAAGCATGTTGTCCATTAAGTATCAAGGAAACAGATTAAAAGTAGTGTGTATAGCAAGCTAACATATGTGGAAACTATCCATATTTATCTGTATGTGTCTAAGTACATACGCATATGAGCAGTTAGGTTTCTTCCTTTTCTTTGCTACTGTAAAGATGCCACAATGAATAACCTCACACATTTGTTATTTTGCACAAATGTGAGGATCAAATCATTGTATTTTTCTCCATTTTAAGAGTTGAAATCCGGGGCGCCTGGGTGGCGCAGTCGGTTGAGTGTCCGACTTCAACCAGGTCACGATCTCGCGGTCCGTGAGTTCGAGCCCCGCATCGGGCTCTGGGCTGATGGCTCAGAGCCTGGAGCCTGTTTCCGATTCTGTGTCTCCCTCTCTCTCTGCCCCTCCCCCGTTCATGCTCTGTCTCTCTCTGTCCCAAAAATAAATAAACGTTGAAAAAAAAAATTTAAAAAAAAAAAAAAAAAAAGAGTCGAAATCCTATTCTCCCCAAAATGAAAAATGCACAAGGTAATTCCTTATAATATTTGTGTGTGTGTGTGTGTGTGTGTGTGTGTGTAAACACACACAGTAATTTAAAGGGGGCAGAGAAACAAAAGGAAATATAACAAAGTGCCATGATGGTTACTTTAAGACAGTTTTAATTTTCGTCTTCATACTTTAAATGTCTTTTCTTGATGCCAATGTAGGAAAAAATTGAGTGTCAGCAAAACATTTGAAGTGAGATTCAAACAAAAGGAAACACGTTGATCTTGTAAACAAAATATCTAAATTCAAGACATTTATCCTGCTTGCAAACTCATCTGTAAAGAAACACGGGGACTGCTTCGAATGAGATGTTTAAAGAGTTTTTGACAGAGTCTGGAAATTGGTAGGCCAATAATATATATTCCGATCAAAATCATTATGAAGATTAGTATTTTAAGAATATATGCAGCCATGTTTAGCACAGAGTGCAGAGCACAATTGGTGACCAGGAATTGTTAACTGAACCTGAATCGATCCCCCTTTCCTAGTGCTACCTAAACTCTGAGATGTAAGATTAAGAGTGTTTCTCTGTAACTGCCACTGTCTACCATTGGAACTGGGTTCTTCCATTTTTTTGTAGCTGTCTCTTTGAGGTTGCCATACTGCCTAAAAGCAAATATACCAAAAAAACCCCAAAAAACCCATAAAGCAATGAAACTTTTTTTTTGCTTGCCTCTGGAGGACAAGCAAAAAAAAAGAAAAAAAAAAATCTATCCATTATCTCCCTTCCTGGATTCTCTCCTCTTGCTTAAATCCACATCCAGTGCGAAATTGATTCAACCTTTTGCAAATGGTTTTTTTCCCCTGGATATAACTTAATATTCTGTATTGGGAGGGAAGAATATCTTTATGTGAGAAAGTCTGGCTTGTTGCCCAAACACACACCCCCACTGGATAGTTGTCCATGACTATTTAAAGAGTCTGTACTGAACCAAAGGAAAAATGTCATGATTCCATTCATATGGGAAATTTTGTCTAGTAAGAGGAGTACCCAGGATGATTTGTCTTGGAAATGGCCAGAGACTAGAGCTAAGAGAAATCTGGACAAAAAGATATATTATAGGCCTGGATTTACGGGGTGACTGTAAGAACAGGATTTGGGGAACTCACCGGTTATGGAGGATGAAGGGAGGGAAATGGTGGACCATGACTGGAGCTTTACATTCAAGCCCATGGAACATTAGTGTCATGGACAGACAGAAGCTTGACCATGGGAGGATAAAGCAATGAGATGATGAGCTAACTTTGGGACATCATAGTTTGGGCTAAGGGCAGGAATTTCAAGGCCATGTCCACAAGCAATTTAAAATCGAACCCTCCACACCAGACAGACCTCAAATGAGAGGTGTAAATTTGAGAACTATCAGTCTGGGTAAGAAGGTAGAGCCTTCATGAAACACTAGTATGTTGAGAATACAAGAGGAAAAGCTATCTGGTGAGAATGCTTTATAGTGAGCAACCAAAGACTATGATGCCAACAGTAGAAAAGATGGCACCAATAGTAAGATAGAAGGAAACAGACACAGATCTTCTAGCCCCAAGAGGATGGCATGGCTGTAATCCATGGTTTAGATAAACTAGAGCAAAGGCTATGTGCCCCCTTTCCCCCTTGCTTTAGTTAAAATTAGATGCAAAAATACAATGTTGAGTTGAAGCAATAACACAGGGATGAAGTGTGTTTTCATGGCAAAACCACACTGTCATTGGGTCTAAGAAGACCTTAGATTGCCTTGAACTCTGGGCTTTGGCAACTGTGACTCCATTAACTTTGTGACTTGTTCAATCGATGTGGACTTTTGAAATGTTGGGCTGTGTCATTTCTAGGCAGGACAGAGCCTAGAACGCAGGGTTCCTGATCCCAAGCTGACAGTTTCCGTCAGCTTGCCCCATCTCAGGGTGCACCCAGGCACCTGTGTATAAAGACTCAAGACAAATCAAAGCCCCATAAAGGTGCAACCACCTTAAGTTAGGGCATCCCCTTCCTGGCTAATGATGCCCTACAATCCCCCTCCCCCCAAAAAGGTCTACTTCCCCTGGCCAGTCCCCCACCCCATATATGTATACTTGCCAAGTGCCCCTTAGTCTCTATCCTTCTCTTCCACCCACCTCCACCCCAACAAACCTCTGTTGCGGTCAGCCAGATCCACAGATGTGGGTGGGTCTCCATGGTGACAGAGGAAGCCCTGATGCAGGAGGAGAGGGACACAAACAGCAGAGGAAGGCTCTTTGCACCTAATACACTGCCTTCTGCCATTCATATTTCCAGGGCATTAGAGGGCCCAGGCCTGTAAGGGGGGCTTCCTTTGGCTCAGAGAAGCACATTAGATGTCAAGAGAGGCGCCGCTATGTGGGAGAGACAATGGAATGCCTGAACTCTTCTTTAAAAATCTCTTTTCTGTGATTTCCAGGTGATCGTCAGTATAATCATCCGATTTTAAGCAGTGCTACCCAGACCCCTACACATGGTGAGAGATGGCTGTGAGCATTCTGTGTTCCGTCCCCATCCCCAGGGGCTCCATCTTGACTCCTGATTCCCGTCAGGCATCAGACATATGGTCATGACTCACTGGAGCTCAGGAGGTGTAAGGAGCCCACAGTGGCTCAGTCCCACTCTTAGACCATTGTCTCCCAGTGTTCTGTCTCAGAAACCAGAGTGATCTTCTGCCACGGAAGGGAAGGAGGGAGACCCTTTCCTAACCCATTCTCGTGTGCACGCTAGATCACTTCTTGGAGTCATAAATTCCATATGTCCAGAGCAAAGAGCGAGCATGCTCCTTTGCCCAAGTCTACATGTGGTACCATTGACTAATGGCATGCGACTTGGCATAAACTCCATCAGTCCTCCCCAAACCACTTAAGATTTGATAACACACTCAAAACCAACCCGGGTGACCCGAGCGTTAGCCTCCTGACAGGGGAAGAAGGTGAAGGTTGGAGAGCACAGGAGGGTGGGCATAGCGCCAAAGGTTTACAAAACCCACGTGCCCTTCTTATAACATCCTCCTGATCACAACTCAACACCTAGCACTGCAGAGTAAAACTATTTTTGGTACCCGCTCCAAACTTGGTAGAACATAAGACAGCCATGGAAATTATGAACCATCAGTCATTTTGCTGTCTTTGCTCTGAAGGAGTGAAAACATCATTAAAGTTTAGTGAGAGAGAAACTCAAAACAAAGATAAATTATGTGGCTCACTTGGCAGAGAGACTGACAACCCTCTTGTGAAACTGTGCTCTGCTTCTGCATTGAGGTGTTGAGCATTATAATTAGGAAGACAGAAGTGGACTATTTTGATGTCCCCCTCTAGTGCTGGGCTCCTAGTGGAAATATGTGATGAAAGCTAGTTTAATAAGATGTTTAAGGTTGCAGGGACCAGGGGAAACCAGAACTGAAAGAAATTGGAGAGATCAGTGAGGAAGCGGCAGCTACCAGTGGTGATGTGGACAGTGGGAAAAGAAAGAAGGGCTCAGATATAAAATATTTTGGAGAAAGGATCGAGAAAACTTAGTGACGGGGCGAATATGGTTGACGAGAGTCAACAGTGAGTAAAAATGGTGAGCCGTGATCATTGAGAAGGATGGGGGTTCTTAGTAAGGCGATCTAAGGAGTCAGGAAAGCAAGCCAGTGTGCGGAGGAGAGGAAGCTGTTGATGGTGAATCTGGATCTGGACATCTAAAGCTAGAGACCAGAGGAGACTCAAGAAAAAGGATTCAGCAGGCAGCTAGAAATGCAGACATGAAGCGTGGAGGGAGGTTACAGCTGAAGATGTAAGTAAGCGACGCTTTGGAGGCAGGGACCGATGCCCTGCGAGTGGGGCAATCTGTGCAAGAAGGCTGAAAGAGAAAAGCAGAAGGCAGAAGCAGAGAGCCTGGGAGGGGGGATGCCCACGGTGATGAGGCAGCAGCAGGAAGAGGAGCCCGAAAAGGCGAGCGAGGAGTGCTCTGCTCACTCCTGAACATTCTGAAAGGCTTGTTCTCCAGAAGGAGCTAATACCTCCTGGGTGCAGAAGGAGCCATTCATCCCTCCTCTTCCTCTCTTCTTTTTCCACCTGCTGCTGGGGCATGAGGGTAGGCGAGACCCGGTCTCTGCCCCGTGAGCCGCTCACAGCCTGGGGGAGGCAAGGTTTCCTCCACGTCTCTTCGTTGGGGGCTACGCTTTCCCCAGGAGCTGGCAGCGAGACTATTAAGAGGGAAGGTGGACTGTGTCGACTTGATTAACCAGAGAGCATTAACTGGGTCCTTATTTTGGGCCAAGCACGGTGAAGTCATCAGCCAAATGGGAAAGCAAGGTGTCTACCGTTAAGGATATTCCAGTCTTTGGAGATCCCCAAGAGCAGATCAAGTCAAATGATTAGAGACCACATAGACACGGAAATGCGTGGCATTGTCTAGGAAAGCGGCAACAGGGGCTTGAGGACCAGATGTCACAGGGGGCTGAAAAGACGTGACGTGGCTGGAGCGGAGAGCCTTGAGCGAAGAGCCAATCTGGGCACAGGACGAGTAAGGAAGGACATTGCAATAGGAGAGAGAGGCTGAGCAAGGGGGCAGGGGTGATCATGGTGGAGGCCGAGGGCGAGGAAGAGCTGGCCTTGGCTCAGCAGCATGAATTGGAGGACAGAGCGGGGTGGGTAGGAGCACCCAGAAACGTTGCATTTGGAAGTGGGTGAGCTGAGCAATGCCCTCGGTGGCAGGATGATGCCAACAGGCAGAGGGAAGCTCCTTCTTTCTCCAGCATCACTGAATGTGAAGCAGTAGGAGCAAAGGACTGGTGGCTGTCACCCAGCTCCGGAGAGCAGTGCTCCCAGCTTCCTGCCCACCCCGCTTCCTGGCGTCTGTCCCGATCCATGCCAGGGAGGCTCTTTCTGTACAGCATGTTCTGATCTCTCGGGGACGTAGAGCGTCCCTCACCCCCTCACATATGTACCGAGCTGGCATGAATGCCAGCTCATTGGCTGGGCTCCCTTGGCTCCACCCCCAGCGTTTAGGGGTACCAGTGAAGGCAGGAAGGATAGAGAAGCTGGGAGTTCCCTGTAGTGAGGCTGCCCTTGGACCAAGCCTGGCACTTCTTCTCTTCGTCCCCCGGTTCATAGAATTCCTGACTTCTGGAGTTCGGCACTCTCTCTGCCAAGAGGCGTGGGGAGCCTCAGCCTGGCCCTTCTCTGGGTGCCCCAAACCAAAGAGTATGGAGGGACAATGAGAGAGCCACCTGCCCACCTCATTTCGGGGAAGGGCACCACTGTTTCCACTGTTGATTTCTTGCTAAGGCTCAGAAAGTCAGTCAAGCACCAAGACATGCCTGCCTGCTTCCTTCCTGCCCAACCACCCCCCTCCCCCACACCCGCATCTTCTCTCTCCCCCCAACCCCTGTGCTCTTCCTAACGTGGCCCCCAGAACTTTTGGGGAAGGAACTGGAGGAGGAGGGAGTGGCTTCGTAGGTGGCCTGTCAGGGGCGGGGTTTGGGGAGGCCCGAGGCGGAAGGCGGGACCTGAGGGCTGGCATTGAGGGACGGAATAACATCATGGGCAGCGTGGGATGGAGTCTCAGTGAACCTGGGTCCTGGACCCCGTCCTGTGAGTACGTGGACGAGACCACCGTCACCCCACCTATTTCCAACGGAGATTTTTCCCCCCTGGGCCTGAGAGCTGTTAGGGACAGGACAGAACTTTCACACAATTTTAGGACCGCCCTCAGTTCCATCAGGCTTACGTTGTCGTCGTCAGAAAGCACAGCGGCGCGCAGGGAGAAGAGAGTCTGTCATTCAAAGAGGGACAGGCCACCAGCACGGCCCGCGGCGGCTAAAACAGCACTTGTCCCTAGCCTTCGAGGCAACTGGAACAGAGCATGGGGGAAACCAAGTCACCAGCACCACCCACGTTCTAGTACAGGGGGGCCAGGAAAGCAGGATAGGGAGCGAGAGCCAGAACTCGGATCCTCCCCTCCTGCCGGCCCATCGTCCTCGCCAACGCGACGCGCCCCACCCCCTTCTTTTGCAGAAAAGCCACGGATGAACAACATCCTGACGTCGGCCACGGAGCCCTATGACCTCTCCTTCTCCCGCTCCTTCCAGAACTTGGCCCACCTGCCCCCATCCTATGAGTCTGCGGTGAAGACCCACCCCAGCAGGTACTCATCCCTGAAGCGGCTAAGTAAGTACCATTACCTCGCGTTTGGGGTCTGCTCCGGGGCCTTTGCGACACCTTCCTGCGCTTCCCTCTCTTGCCCTACGCCGGAGGGGACAGGTGTGGAGTTTCAAGAATAAAGAGTAAGGTGTAGCCTGGGAAGAGCGGACGGGAAGCCCTTGTGTCTGTTCGCTATGGCCTGGATCCGTGTCCCCGTAGACAGGGTGGAGGCCACGGAATCATCAGACCCACGTGCCCGTGGGAGGCAGCGCCACGGACGAGTTGAACCGCAAGAGAAAGCCTTCCCCCAGCCTCACCCAGCACCCGCCATCTTCAAACCACGCTTCCTCATGCTCTACCTTACTTTAGAGTGGAGGCTACCGGTGCCAGAGCCTTGTGTGAGACCCTTCCCAGAGACCCGGCTTTGGAAGGGCCCAGAAACCAGCTCCCTCTCTAATCCGGCCAACGCTGTCTTGAGAACCCGAGCCTCCCCTCTCCCGTGCACACACCCCGTTTCCTCGCGGGGCGCCGTTCCTCCGGTGGTCCCAGCTCTGCCATTTGAGTCTGGGAGGGGATCTGAACATAGATGGGCTTAAGACCCATGAAGACCCATTACGATGTCAACAAGGTACATGGAGAGGCCAACAAGAAGAGGAGAGGTCTTCTTTCCTAGCTTTCTGACCCTTGGACCTCCTGCCTCCATGCCCTCATGGGTCTGTTTTCATAACCACCCAGCTGTGGGGACGAGTCTTTACTTGACGCTCTGGGGTAACCTGCCCTGACGGAGTCCATCCCATGGGTCCACATCAGCTACCTCCGCGGTGAGCTTCTACGGCTAGAAGCGGGGGTCCCTGATGATCCGAGGGCTCCATGAACGGCGGGGAAGAGGGAGGCAGGACCTACCCATCCGTGACTCTCTGGGAAACCCGGGGAGCAGTCAGAATTGCCACATTCTGCAGAGATTTAGAAAACCGCAGGACGCCTCATTCCTGAAATTCGGGCCAAAGCAGGCTCGCGTGTGCCCTGGGTACACTCAAGGGTGTAGCAGTCAGTGTGAGCGTGGGAGGGCCTCCCGGAGGGAGGGAACGGGTGGAGCGTTTTGAGCGAAGTCCAAATATAGGACTGCCTTGGCCATGTTGTGGGCACAGGCGACGTGGGTGTAGGCTTGATTCTGGGCGTGTGTGGGACTGGGGGCGGGTGCTGGTTTCCTGTGGGCTGGCTGTCACCGCAGGGGGGGTGTTACTATGTTCCTAAGTTACCAGCTGAGCATTTGCACGAGTGCCTCTTGGTCGGAGCGTCTCGCACTTCACTATAGCGGGAGTCTGGTTCCGAAACCCGGCTTCCCCGGAGAGAGGCTCTGAACTTCCTCAGAAGGCCGCCGACTGCCTCCCGGGGGTTTCCGAAAGACCCGGTCTCTCTCAGGACCACGGTGTGGTCGAAGCGGGATTTCAGGGGCTTGGCTGTGCCATCAACTGTGCCTTGAGCCCCCTGGGGACCTCGAGGGAGCCCGTCCACCCTTGGAGACTCAAGGTGGTCCCAGACCAGAGGCATCAGCATTGCCTGGGAGCCGGGTGGAGACGCAGACTCTCGGGTCCAGCCCAGGCCAGGAGGTCTGAACCAGAACCTGCGTCTAACAAGACCCTGGGGACTGGTTTGCACTCCTCCACCCGTCTGGGCTGTGCTGTCACACTGTCACCCCAGCTGACTCCTCTCTCTCTCTCTCTCTCTCTGTCTCTCTCCCCAGCTGACAAAGAGGCTGACGAATATTACATGAGGCGGCGGCATCTGCCTGACCTGGCCGCCCGCGGCACCCTCCCCCTCAACGTCATCCAGATGTCCCAGAAGCCCTTACCGCGGGAGCGGCCCCGCCGGCCCATCCGGGCCATGTCACAGGACAGGGTTCTGTCCCCAGAGCGGGGCCTGCCCGACGACTTCGGCTTGCCCTATGACCGCATCCTGTCCGACGAGCAGCTGCTCTCCACGGAGCGCCTGCACTCCCAGGACCCGCTGCTGTCCCCGGAGCGGACGGCCTTCCCCGAGCAGTCCCTGTCGCGGGCCCTCTCGCACACGGACGTCTTTGTGTCCACGCCCGTGCTGGACCGCTACCGCATGACCAAGATGCACTCCCATCCCAGTGCCTCCAATAACTCCTACGCCACCCTGGGCCAGAGCCAGACGGCTGCCAGGCGCCAGGCCTTCGCCTCCCGCAGACACAACACGGTGGAGCAGTTGCACTACATCCCGGGCCACCACACCTGCTACACGGCCAGCAAGACGGAAGTGACCGTGTGACTGGCCGGGCGGGGCGGGGCGGGGCTGGGAGCGGAGCCCCTAGCCGCGTGTGGCCGCCCTGCCTTGTCCCCTCTGCGGGAGGTGGGGGCGGGCCGCCTCTGCCCAGAAAGCCATACGCCGCCGGGAGACACGGCCCCGGTGGCCTGGCCAGGCACGCTCACACCTGGGATCTAGAGCGATCTCTCTCACTCTTCCAGAAGCATCCAGGGGAGTGAGGGGAGGGGCTAGGCCCCAGCCCCGCCTCCCCCCCCACCACTAACTCCCTTCAGCCCCATGT